GCTGGATGGCAGTGAGGGAGAAGGCGGTGGGGAGGGGGTCCTAGAAAACCCAGAACCAGGTGCTGGGGACCCCAGCAGGGAGGCACACGCTGAGTGCATATATTGGGGGTTCAAGGGGGATGGGGTGCAGGCGGGGAAGCCCAGGGTAGGGTAAACAGGTCAGGCTGCTCCAATCAAGTCTTACTCAAAAACAACATAGGTCCGGAGAGAAAGAACAGTGGGGAGGGCACTTGCTTGTGCACATGGCTGACCAGGGTTCCCGAGCCCCACCAGGGAACATTAGTATGTCCTTGAGCACAATGCCGGAAGTATCACGAGGTGTGGCCCAAACACCGAAAAAGAAATAAACACAAAGAAAAATAAAGTGTGTGGGGGGTGGTGTTGGGGAGATTCTCGAAAGGCCTACTGCCTTTGCATGCAAGAGCCCCGCATTCATTTCCTGGCACTGTCTGCCCCCCGAAGAACTGCTGAGTGACCCCTGAACATGACGTGGTATGGCCCAATATCCCTCCCAAAGTATGTAAGAAAAGATGGAAGAGAAATGAAAGGCAGCAGCAGAGAGAAGAATGGATGGAGCATGGTGGGGCAGCTGAGCCCATGTGGTGGCGAGGCCGACCAGCTCCTCTGTAAGCATCCACAGAGCAGATTTGGACCAGTAGGTGGAAATCACCGAAGCCAGATTCTTGGCTCCATAGTAAGATCTTTCTAGTGATGAACGCTTTCCAGGAAAACAGGGGAGTGAGCCCTCTGTCGCTGGGAGTGTGTAAACACAGCACCCACCTTCCCAAGAGGCCACACCCGGGGCAGGGCATTGAGAAAGGGGCCTTCTTGGCTCCAGGAAGCCGCGCGTGCTCCACACGGCGCGGGCTATTCTCGGGCAGCAAGCTGGTCACTGTGTGTGTGGAGAGGCCGAGCAGCAGCAGGGTGTTAAGCTTCATGCATGCACCTTGCAAGGTTGGGGGGCTCAGTGGAAAACGGGGCAGCCTTCAGCTTCACCTTCAGCCCTGGGTGGGAGGCCCTGAATTGTTCCTCATGGAGAGAACCTATTCCTCAGGCTGCAGAGAAGGGGGTGGGGGTTAGCACAAGAAAGAGAATCTAGCTTGGACAGCCTAGGGTTGGGGACAGCTGGGCGTGGGGGAGGCATTTAGAGCCCCAGTAGAGATTGGGGTGTGTAAATAAGAGGGAAGTGTGAGTAAACAGCCCAGAATTCCAGGGACTTTGGCCATTTGATGCAAGACTCAAAGGAGCCTGGCTGGTGCCCCATGGGTGGCAAAGGGTGTCTCCCCTGGGCTGGCATCCGCTTCCAGGGAGCACAGGAGCTCTGGCCACTCATGCTCCATCTGCTGCTCGCGCAGAGGAGAGGAAGGGCCCTTCGAATCACCTCGCAGAGCCGGGTGAGCCTGTCAGAAGAGTTCTGGCTGTAGGCAGAGGACAGCCCAGCAGGCAGGAGGGGGGGCTCAGGGTGAAGCCCCGCCCAGGAAAGAGGACCGCTCTCCTCAGGGGTGACCTTGGGATGAGGGGCGGCCTCGGGCCGGGGGACTCCATGCACAGCCCCCTCCTGATCCCACCAGCTCTGTCCTTCTTTGGGGGTCTTTCTGCTCACCTCCCCGGGCAGTGCTGCTAATCCCAGGAAGGCTACTGAGTAAGTGGCCCCCTGTGAGCCTGGGGGACCCCAATGAAGGCCTCAGGAAGGACTATGGTGTATGGGCACACTGGCATAAGGGTCAGGGGTTCTGTCACCTGTCCCCTCTGGGAATCCTCTTGGGGCCTCCTTAGCCCATCCCAGGGAATCGGAGAAATTATTTCTTTTTTTGGGGGGTGGGGGGAGTCCTCCAAAGCAGTGGTCAGGAGGTCTGGAGGTCCCACTGGCAATTCTCGGCCAACTGGGTCACTGGTCCAGCACAAGAGGTCAGTGTTGCTCAAGCCATGCAGAGTTGGGCCAGACCGGAAGTGCTGGGGTCCTCTGGGGGACCACATGGTAGACATGTGCCCCAACCGCTATGCTATCTCGGGCCTGAGACCATTATCTCCCCTGCTTTAGCTTCTCCATTTCCTCCCCTGCTCCATGTGACCTGAGCCTGCAAGGACTGCTGCTATGGCAACCAGGAAGGGCAGCTTGATCCCAGGTCCAACCTGCCCCTAACCGTGGCCTCCCAAGTCCCTTTGCTAGATGTGGGAGTTCCAGACCACTCTGCGAGAGAGCGGAGGCCCCTGGGCTGTGCGGGCGGAGCATGGCTGTGGCGTTTCTGCAGCTGGTCACTCTGTGTTCTCCAGGCCACCCGGGACAGTGGGAGCACGCACCCACTCCCGTCTCTATGGGAGGACCTCTCCCCCCTCCCCCCTCCCCTGACAAACAGACACAGAGTTCCAGAGGAAGTGACCAGACACAGGACCTCAGAGTCTCCTCTCTGGCCAAACCCAGCTTTCCTCTGGAAGTTTCTGTCTGGTGTGGATGCAGAGCCAGGGCCACGGGGGCATTCACCCTCAGTCTCCAAGTTTATAGGGATGTGGTAGGGGGGAAGCAGGACCGGTTATCTGGCAGTTCTACAGAGGGAAGGAGCAGAGAGCTGGCTTGGACCATATGGGCCCCAGCTGAACTCTGGGAAGGGGTGATCAGGTTTCAGTCGCACCCCCCTCTCAGAAAGGCTCTCAAGGGGGTGTGGGTGTGCCTCACACACACCCTTCAGAGAGGGAGATGGTAGCAGGAGGCAGAAGCCTCCAGGGGAACAAGTACCCACCGCCTGAGGGGCCAGGCAGTCCACCCTTCTTCCCTCCGTCCTGCCTGGACCCCACAAACCACTCTGGGCCCCAAAGACTCTGGCTCTTGCCCCCCCATCACACTCAGGGGAGAGGCTTTGCCTGATGGCCTCCGCCCCCCCCAACTGCTCCTCCCACTCCATCTGCTGCCCAGCACTGTCCTCCAGGGTCTTGGCATGCCCCTCCCTGGGTCTCCAGCCCACAGGCATCGCTCTCCACCTGCCAGTGCCTTGTGAGGTGCCAGGGGAAGTTGGTTCCTCAAAGGGGCGCCCCTTAGCCCGCTGCCTCTCCCCCTTCCTCTGATCCTTTATTTCCCAGAATGCAACGTGTGTACCTGGGGGGGGGGCGCCGGGGGCAGGGGAAGTCTCCCAGCAGGCCTCTGGGTACAGAACCACCCCTAGCTCTGTGTCCTTGGAGAAGTGACCGCTGAGCAGGGGGACGGAGCCCAGCTTGGTTCTTCTCTCTCCTGCCTCCTGGTGGGGGTTTGGGGAGACACCGGGTGGTTCGAGGCCCCTGGTCAGGCTCTTCGAGGTCTGGGCTTGGGAAAAAGCAACGTAGACACTTGGAGTTCACTGGCCGGGTGGCAGGCGGGGCTGCAGTTTCCGGGTCCAGATCACCTCAGGGGGTGAAGCCCCGACCTTGAAAAGACCCCTCTGCTCCTCTGGGTCCCACAGCAGGGAGGTGGGGGTCTCCGCTGGGTACCATTCCCACCGCCCTCTGAACTGCAGTTGCCCCACTCCCGGGGCCATCCCTCGTCGCCCACCGCCCACGTCGGGCCTTGGGGCCGTCCCCTCTTTGCCCTTGGCTAGTCTCCTAATGGCCCCTGCAAAGCCCAGCTGTGGCCTCCTACACGAGGTTTCAGATCCAATGCTCCAAACCCTCCCTTCAGATCCGGAGCCCGCCCCCCTGGCCCAGCGCGGGGGCAGGGGTCGCGGTGGTGGCGGCGGTGATGTGGGGGGTGGGGGGTCCCGGGAAGCCTGAGACCAGCCTCAGTGCTCTGCATTCCCGGGAGACAGGAGCGCCGCGCGCCGGTCACATCGCAGCCGCGGCCCCGCCCAGGCCCCGCCCTCGGCCCCGCCCCCGCACGCGCAGCGACACGCCCCTGCCACCCCCCGGCCGGTCCGGCCGCCAGCCCGCCCGTCCGGGCTACCGCGTCCCACGGGCGCGCGAGCACCCACATCTCAGTCACCGCAACAAGTCCGCCGAGCTCCGGCGCCCCTCACCCACCCCGGTCCCCGAGTTCCCGGCGAGGCCGAGCTTCTCGCGGGGCTCCCAGTCCCCCCCACCCCCGCGGCCGCGCGGAGACCCGCAGCCCTGCGCCCGGGGCTCACACCCCGGCTGCGGCCCTCCCAGGCCCGCGCTCCCTCCCGGGAAGAGAGCAGTTGCGGGGCGCGCTCCGGGTTTTTTTTTCTTTTTTTCTTTTTTTTTTTTTTGCCTCGAGTCTTCAGGCTCGGAGAACAATGAAGCAGCTCTCTCGGCGCTTCCTCCGCCCCAGCAAGCTTTGTTCCTCCCTTCCCGCCGCTCGGCTTCCATCAGCCAAAGGGCAAAGCCCCCCCCGCCCCCCCCGTCAGCCAGAGGCCCTGAGCGAAAGCCCAGACCGCTCCACCCGCCCCAAAAACCCTGGGGGGTGAGGGTTGGGGCCGAGCCGCCGCGCCGAGGCCGAGGACGCGCGTCCAGATGCGCTCCGCTGGCTGGCTGCCCGCGGGCCCCCAGACGTGTCTCCTTCCCAGAACCCCCACACCCGGGATATCCGACTCGCTCCCCCACCCCCTTGGCCCCATCCACAGAGGAAGTGGGTCTGGGCTCTGCTCCGGGGCCAAGCAGCCCTCATCACATCTGCTCTCTCCACATCTGTCCTCTAGATCTGGGCGCTCCCCCCGCAGCCCTGCTGGACGCTCACTAGGGGAGCCCCAGATCTTGCCAGAATTCAAGGCTTTAAAATTCGAGGACGGGAACAGGGCTTTTACTCCTAGCTTGGAACACCCACCCCCATTGTCAGGCAGGACCCGCGGTGTCATCTTTTACAAGGGGCATTTCAGCCCGGCGCCTATGCAGGAGGCCCGGCCCGACCGGGCACATCTGGGCGCAACGCTGCACTCCACCCCTCCACACACCTGCCCCAAACCTGGACAGCCCCTGGGGAGGAGGAAAAGAGCTGGGCACTGGTTGAGCTGGGCTCGCCCCAACACCTTCCCCTGCTGCAGCTAGAAGCAAAGGAGGGTAGGGCCCGGGGCAGGACTCACCCAGCATCTGGCTGAAAAGCAGCTGCTCCAGGTCTCCGAGCACGGTCACCACCAGCTCTGGGTCCACCTTGAGGAAGGCGCGCTCCTCCTGGCCCTTGGCGGCGGACGCGGGCGCGGAGCCCTTTTGCGCCTTGGCCTTGCTGGACAGCAGCTCGTCGTCCGACTTGCCGTCGTCGCTCACGGCCGCCTCCGGGGCCTTGCTGAGCGGCTTGACCTCGGCATAGGGGCCGCGCGGGATCCGGCTGGGCTTTCCCAGGCTGGGCGCGAGCGGGGCCAGCGGGGTCTTGGCGCCGCTGGCCGGGCTGCCCTTAGCCTGAAAGAGCGAGTGCTCCGATTTGGACAGGGTCTTGGACATGAGCGGGGCCTCGCGGCCCTTGGCCCCCGCCTTGCCCAAGCCCTTGGGCGCCTTGGCCATATCGTCGCTCCACTCGGGCTCGTAGAGCTGCATCTTCTTCTCGGAGTCGGTGAGGAACGAGAGGTTAGTGAGCGATTTCTGCTTGCGCAGGTTGGAGGCGGGCGGCCCGCCGGGCACCCGGCCGTCCACGCTGCCCGATTTGAAGACCTTTAGTTCGGCCGCGCTGGCTTTGGCCATGCCGCTGCCGCTGCCCGGCGCCTTGGCGCGTTTGGGCAGCATGCCTCTGCCGTCCGCCGCCGCCGCCGCCTTCCTGCCAGCTCCCCGGGGCTCGTCCGCGCCCTCGTCCGCGCCGCAGCCGCTCAGCTCCACCTCGGGCTGCGCGCTCTTGACGCTGCTGCCCAACATTCTGCCGGCGAGGAGCGCATGGACGATCCGCGCGTCTGCAGGCACGGGGGGGGGGGGGGGGGGCGAGGGGCGGGAGCGCAGGGGGGAGGAGGCGGAGGAGGAGGAGGAGGAAGAAGAGGAAGAGGAGGAGGAGGAGGAGGAGGAGGAGAGGAGAAAGGACGGAAGAAACCGAGGAAGAAGGGGAGAGGAAGGGGGGAAGGAGCGAGAGGGGAAGGAGGGAGGCGCGTCGGGGGGCGCGCAGGGGAAAGAAACGCCGGGAAGGGAGTCGGGGAAGAGGAAAGAGCGAGGAAATCGAGGAGCGATGGGGCGGGGGCGGGGGGAAGGGGCGGGGCGGAGAGAGAAATGAAGATTTAAAATTCAATCCCAGGAAGAATGGGGAGCCCCGCCGCGCTGCGCGGTGCCCCGGCCGCCCGGTCGCGGTCCCTCGCGCTGTGCCCGTCTGGCCCGCGGGCGGCGCCCTGCCCGGCAGCGCCCTCGCGGCAGCCGCCCGCTGGAGCCGAGGCTGCGGGCTGCGGCTCCGAGCGGAGGCTGGAGGGGAGGGCAAGGCTGAGGAGTGATCGGGAGGAGGGGAGGAGTGTGCGCCAGGCGGGAGGAGGGGGAGAGCGAGCGTGTGTGCGTCTATTTCTGGCTCGGGCGGGGGGTGCCTTTGCCACGGAGATCTGGGGGCGGAGGGGTAGGGGCTAGAGGGGAGATAAACGACCTCACCGATTTTCTCCTTAAGTGCCACGGGGAGTCCGGGAGAGGCGGGTTCTGGGGATGGGAGGCACTGCGGAGTGGGGGGAGTGGGAGGTCTGTGACCGGCATCGGGGTGCAGGCAAAAGGTACCAATACAAGGCGGCTCAGGATGGAGAGAGGGCCTGGAGGTCCCGGAGCCTGGCATGCAATGTGGGGTGGGGTGGGGTGGTCATATCCAGATTGCTGGTTACCCCACCTTGCACACACTCCACCCGGGAAACTCGGATCCTTGTTCACTCTCCATAGCGAGTAGGGCAGGGTCCTGGCTCCAGATCTGGAGACTTTTGGGTTCTGGGTTGGATCAACCGAGAGGGCTACATGACCTTGTCAAAGTCATTGCCTCTGCCTTGTTCTCTCAAAGCTGGTTGTATGTGAGTCTGAGGTCAAAGGGCTTGGGCAGCCTGACCCTTTTGTGCAGATTCAGGGTCTGGCTAACCTGAGCACCATGGGGAGTTCCAAACTGCATTTACCCATTTGCCCTTCTCCTTCTGTCCAGTGAGGGGGGGGGGGGGCAGGGAAGAGAGATGGGGGTGGTGAGGAAGAGGGAGAGAGTGCCCTTTGTCAAAGCACTTTGGAGGCACCTCCTCCCAGAGGGCCCTCTAGGCAGAGCCATCCTGTGCCCAGGCAAGAAGGTGGGGGACAGGACGTAGGGGAAACTTGAAAAGCAAAAGTAGCCAGGCTAGAGCTTACCCATGGGGCCCCACACCAGGGCATGTAAAACCCTAAGAAAACGGCCCCAGCGGGTTCTGGGCTCATCCATCCCCAACCCCACCCTGAATCGGAAGAACCCCGTATCCAAATCTCACCCACTGTCCTCACACTTATCCTCTCTACCAACCTGGTGTAAAAGTTTCCAGGTACACAGCCCCTGCCCTTCCCCAGGTCTCCTAGGACCCCACCCCAAGCAAATGCTGCAACCAGCCGGGAAATGAGCTCTCAGTGGCATCCCCAGGTCTCTCCTCTCCAAAACCCGGGGCTGGATCCAAGTACCAGCCACTCAGTGAGCACTGCAATCAGAGCTCTCTCGAGGAGACCTTCCAGGTTCAAATGCACAGCCCAGGGCCAAAGCTCATGGAGGCCCTGGTTCATTTTCCAGCACTACACAGATCCCAGAGCACAACCAGGTATGACCCCAAGCAAACAAAAAAGAGTACCCGTGCTTGGCAGGGCTTTGGAGATGCTGAGAAGGGTGGAGAAAGGAGTCCGCCTGCCAGCAAACGTAAGCCAGAGGATTGATTCCAAGACCTGAGCAATCACATATACTGGGAGTGCGTCTCTGCTCATTACCGGAATGTCCAGAGGGTGATTTTGAACGCTTGAGAGTGGGGAGGCCAGTGGCCTCACCCACTGCTGTAGCCCCAGAGTCCAGCTATTTAGCAGGTGCTGAAAATGAGAGACTGTAAGCAGGAGACTGAATGAAGGAGAAGAACTTGCAGGCTTGCTGGAATAAGATGCAGAATCAATAGAGAAGGGCTCAGTCCGGGGTAGCAGGACACAGGAAGGGGCACGGAGCTCCTGCACCCAGCCTGGGCACTGCCTCAGGGAAGGAAGGAAAGGTGTTGGGTGTGAAAATTTCTTGGAAGCTCCGGGACCCAAAGGAACAGCAGGGACTGACCTCAGGTCCATAGTCAGCCCTTAACAAACTATGGGGAACGTGGATTTTGATTTCAGAGGAGTGACAAGCATTCAGAATCTTGCTAAAGGAATGACAACCTACAAAGTGTCATGCAGGAAGTTGGTTCAGGCACAATGACTTTCCAGAGGATGAGGCCAGTTATGGGACTGTCTCTCTCTGGGTAGATTTTATTTTTTTAGTTTTTTTCCTCTGGATAGATTTTAAAGATTCAAATTAATGCTCAGACATCAGAGGGAGGGACTGAGCCCTGTCCAGGGCACCAATTTCTGGAAAACCACACCTGTTCCCCCGACATCAGGCCCCTTATGATGAAACCTCAATCCCTTCCAAATCCTCATCCTTCCTTAGAAATTATTCTCTGGGGGCTTGAATGATAGCGGGTAGGCATTTGCCTTGCAGTTGGACAACCCAGGTCTGATCCCTAGCATCTATAGTCCCCTAAGCACTGCCAGGAGCAATTCCTGAATACAGAGTCAGGAGTAAGCCATGAGCATCACCAGTGTGGTCCAAAAGTGAAAAAAAAAAATTCTGTTTTGCATAAGACACGCCTCACAGAATCACAAGGGAACCTCACCTCTCCTTAAAATAGCAAGTTGAGAATCTGGGGCCAGTGCTCTCATTTGCCAGGTCACAGGACCTGTTCATCTTGATATTCTTATCCTGTATATAAATCCATCTCCCTGCACTGACAGGAAGAAATTAACCAGCTGCCACTGGGCTAAAATCACAATTTCCACCATGGTCCATTCTGCCCCATACCCAACTGCCCGGGGCAAACTTGGCTGAGATCAGCCCCTCACATGATGCCCGTGTCTATGGGTGTAAGCCCACCAGACACATCTTTAGCATGGCCAGGACACTAAGCCATGTGTTCCCCATCCACCTACATTTCCTAATCTCCGGATGTCCCAGACCTGAGCTTCCTTCCTTGCTGGGCTCCAACTGGTCCTTCCCGTCGGCTCACTCCTCTGAGCTTTCCCTTGAAAGCTCTCAAATGCACCAAGTCCAATTCCTTTCCCTTCTTTCCATAAACAGCTCTTGCAAGAGAAACAAATTGAGGAGAAGAGTGGTGCTGGTTCTCCCCACACCACTGGAACCTCCAGGTTTGTGTGTCCTATGAGATGAAAACTACCTTCTGTGCCCATCTCCTGAGTTAATGCAGTTCAGAGCCCTCTGCCCTCTGCCTGCTGGCCACTGCTCACCAACCCCACTGCCACTTTTAAAGGGGCCCCTCTGTGCCCTGTGTGCCGGGCTCTTTAAATAGCCATGTTGGTTGGCATCCTGGAACTTCCCGACGCTCCCTAATGCGACCTCTCCCTCTCTCTGGCTCTCTCTTTGATTCCTTTCACATCCCCTGAATTTCCCACCGTCCTCTGCTGCAGTGGGAGTGTTCTGCTGCCGTGGCAACGGCCATTCCTCCAGCCTCAGAGGATGCTGCCAATGTGTCTCGAGTGACTCCTCACGAGACCTGCCCTGTCACACCATCCCCAAACCCAGCCCCAAGCCCCGCCCCCAGGACCCCTCCAGACTGCACAGGACAGACAAGTGGAAAGAGACCCTGCAATCATGGGGGCACTGTGGGATGGGCAGAGGCCAGGCTGGGCAGAGAGTGGGAGCTGGTGATGCCAGGGGCCCCTGGAAGGGAAACTGAGGTCCTGGATCCCCAGCTCCCTCAACACCCAACCTTCCCTTCTCTCCCCAAAGGCATCGGCAGTTTGGGGGGTGGGAGTGGGGTGAGGGACTTTACCACATTTTTTGAGTGAGGTTTTGCCACACCCAATGGTGTTCAGGACTTATTCCTGGCTCTGCACTCAGGGATCACTCCTGGTGGGGCTCTGGGGAACCATATGGGATGCCGGGGATTGACCCCAAGCTGGCTGTGTACAAGCCAAATGCTCTGATCACTGTAGTATCTCTCTGGTCCCAGCAGTCTGAGGAATGAAGAAGCAGACGCTCAGCCAAGCGAAACCATGCTGTGTGGTTTTACGGCACCGCATTTGAGAACAGGTGTCTACAGGGGGTGCTAGGTACGGTGGCTAGGGGGCTGTGTGGGAACTGTTGAGAGAGAAACAGCAAAAAAAATTACCCCCCATGTTGATCTTGAAGGGTGAGTGTGGGGGGAGAGGAACCTTTGGGGGCAGCAGTGGACAGCAAGGTCCACATCTGGCTTTGCCAGAGGCTCTGAGCAGAGTAAGGGAAAGGAAAAGGCCTGCTAGGCTTCTCTGTCCGTACCCAGGACCTGAAGAACAAAAGCTAGGAAGTGGGGGGGGGGGGGGGGGGCTCTGGGAGGTCTGGAAGTCTCTGGCTCCAGGTTCTCCTGAACAAGCAAATCAACAAGACACAGACTCATGGGAGAAAGATTTGACATCTAACGGGAGAATTCACAATCACATAAACTCAGACATTATTGGCATCCATCTTTTCTCATCCTGACACTGCTCTGGGAGGTCTGGATAGCGTGACAGGGACCAAAACTGACCCAAGTCCTCCCTCATGGAGCTGCCATTCTAATGGAGGAGGGGCAGACAATAATTAGGTAGAAATGTTAGTTGCTGAGGGCCAGGGAGATGGTACAGGAGTTAGGGACTTGCCTTAGCTGGAGCGATCCCCAAGTTAGAATAAAAGTACAGTGTGTGTGGGGGGGGAGGGGTGCATTTGCCTTGCACACCTGACCCAGGCTCAATCCCCAGCATTCCATGTGGTCCTCTGAACACCAGGAATCAGGTCTGATTCCTGAGTGCAGATCCAGGAGTAAGTCCTGAGCATTGCCAGGTGTGGCCCAAATTCCTCCCCCCCCCCAAAAAGGAACTTGCCCTTGCATGCAGCCAGCCCTGGTTTGATCCCCAGCACCACATGGTCCTGAGCTCAGAGTTGGGAGTAGCATCTCTCCAGTACTGAGAGATGCCAAGTGTGACCCAAACTGCACTCCTCAAACCGTCACCCCACATGAGTACTTAGATGCTAATTCTCCTATGGGCACAGAGGGTTAGGCACCCCCCCTTGTATATGATGCTGCCCAGCTCAGTTCAAGTCCCTCGCATCACATCCTGCCTCCAGTGACTCCTGAGCACAGAACCAGGAGGAAGCCCTGAGCTCTCCTCATGTGATTCCCTACATTTAAAATAAATATAAGGGCCAGAGAGATAGTACAGCAGAGGGTAGGATGTTTGCCTTGCACGCGGTCAGCCCGGGTTCATTCCCCGGCATCCCACATGATCCCCGGAGCACTGCCGGGAGTATTTCTTGAATGTAGAATCACGTCCCCTGAACATCTCCAGGTGTGACCCCCTAAATATATATCTACTAAATACAAAATGTTAGTTACCAAGGAGTACTAAGGAGGAAGGACAAAGGCCGGCAGCCATGACAGACAGACCTAGAAGGGATTTCTCAGCACAGCGGCACGAGCTAGTTCTACAGGAAGAGGTTGGGGGTATCTGCAGGGATATTTGCAGGCAGAAGCAGAGCTCAAGGCCCTGGGGAAGAGATGCTGGCAGGATGGAAACCTGCAAAATCAGCTCGGCACAGAGGAAGGAAGGAAGGGTCGGCGGCAGGAAGGGCGCTCCAAGAGGTCACGAGCGCCGGCATGGGGAGGCCTTGCAGGACATGACAAGGACCCTGGCCTCAGCTCCTGGCAGAGCAGTGCTGTGGTCTGGGACCCCCCCTCAGAAGGGATCCTCCTATCTGCTGGGATGGCCTAGAAGTGGTTCCAACAGTCTGGGCAGAGCTGACGGTGGGGTGGAGCTGGGCTGGGGGTAGGCGGGGGCTCTGGAGGTGGCAGGAAGGGGCAGACTCAGGGCGGACTTGAAGCCGTGAGAACGTGCTTGTGGCCCAGCTGTGGGCGTGGGGGGGAGAGAACCAGGAACACCCCGAGGAATTTGGCTTGGACAACTGTGAGGTTGAACAGCATCAGTCCAGAGGGGAGGCCTTCAGGACGGGCTGGCTCAGGAGCAAGATTCCAGCTTCCCCCAGCCCCTTCTCAGGCCAGATGGCCCTCCCTGGGGTGTCCTCCCTCCACATGGCTCCCTGCAGCTGCTGATCATTTCCTGGCCCCCGTGGCCAGGACACTGCGTCCCCTCATCTGTGTCTGCCACGCTCCATCTTTATGGGGCCACCCCATTAGAATCCCGCCCCCTCGGAAGCCCGGCGCTGTTCCGTGATCACAGCGGCGCTCGGAAATAGTTGGTGGATGATGCTGGGTGAACTGAGGGGGTGCGTGACTCCCACAGATGTGAGGGGAATTGTGGCTGTGGTGACCTCAGTGCCCCCTGGTGAGAGGCAACACAGCAGAGCGTGCAGGGAGGGAGCTGGGCTTCCAGGACGGCCCACAGAGGCCAGCAGACCCTCCCTTTGAGGAAGTGGCTGGAGCCACCGTCCTGCCCCCACACTGCTCTGCCCGCCCCCCAGGACAGGACATGTGGGACCCACTCTGGAGACTTTAGTGGCTAAGCTGTCCTTGTCCCCAAGGCTCCTGGGTACACATGACACTTCTAGTGGGAAACTGAGTCCTACCCTCCCTGTCATCTGCAGAAGAGGGGTGCAGACAGGGAGTTTGCACCTCCACAGCCTCCCCCAGGAAGCCCCCCTAGACGGACGCACTTCCTTCCTCACAGCTCACTCATCACCTTCACTTTGCGGGGGTGTTGGTGTTCCAGACCTTTCCGTGGACTCTGTAGGGCCCCAGGCTCAGTCTCTCTGGCCCCAGGAAGTACTTTGAGCTCAGGCCTTGGGGCGTGTTCTTATGGACTTTGGGCCCAGAGGAGACTTGCCATTTGTCTGGCGGGGAACAGGAGCCTCGGCATGCGGGAGGCAGGAGTGGGGCCAGGATCGGGTGCTGTGGGTCTCATCAACCGTCTGGGAAAATGCAAAGGAATTCTAAAGTGGAACCTCCAAGCCCCGGCTCTCAGAGCACCTGCAGGACAGGGATGGAGCAGGGGACAGGGGGACCTCGAGGAAGGAAGTAAGGTCCCTCTGTCAGGGGAAAACAGGCCAAGTCTGAAGCCCAGTGCCTGCAGCTGGAGCCTGATTCTCAGAGCTGACAGGAGCCCTGACCGGCCCCCGAGAGGCAGGCCAGCCGCCAGGGTGTGGGCACTGTGGCCAAAGGTCCCTGAGGGCCTGCTCCAGACCAGGGTGATGAGGACAGGTGAGCCCCAGGGACCGGACAGCGTCAACGGTCCAGTTGAGGGGAGGGCTGGGCTGCTGGTTCCAATAGCCAGAGGCCACCCCACATGTCCCAACACAGACTCTAGAACCAGCTAGAACTGGGCCCAGACACAAGTCATCTCCTTCCTGTGAGCCAGACCTGCTGTGAGGGCCCTGGAAGGAGTGGGGCAGAATCACAGCATTTCTCCTTCCTCTTCTGAGGATGGGACCCAGGTGCTCCTTGTACAGTGCTCTTTGGAAAACCATAACCTCCTTACTCTCCCTGTGGAGTCTATGTCTCTGACTTTGGGACCTGGACAATGAGCTGGGGAAGGGCTCTGCACACCTCTGTCCTACCTGCCTTGATACACCCTGGCCTTCACCTGCATGCCTGCTCTTAACTGAATTCAAGTCGGATTCACCTTTCCGGCCCCTGCTGCATTACCAACTCCTCCAGGACAGCCTTTCTTGACTGACTACCCCATACTGATCTTCACCTTTCCCACCTCTCAAATGTGCATTAAGTAACAATTATTTATGTCCTGTAAGTTAACCTGTGGGCTGGAGTGATAGCACATCAGGTAGGGCGTTTGCCTTGCATGTGGCTGACCCTGTCGACCTGGTTTGATTCCTCCGCCCCTCTCGGAAAGTCCGGCAAGCTACCGAGAGTATCTCGCCCACATGGCAAAGCCTGGCAAGCTGCCCGTGACATATTTGATATGCCAAACACAGTAACAAGTCTCACAATGGAGACATTACCGGGCCCGCTCAAGTAAATCAGTGAACAGTGGGAGGAGGGTGCTACAGTTAAGTTAACCTGTAAATCCCCTGACATACTCATGTCTGTGACATCCCACTCCTATACCTAATCTGACACTCCAACCCCTAGTAAGATGGTATTTAGAGACAGAACACGGGAGACGTAGTTAGGTCACCAGTAATGGCATTAACACCCTAAAAATTCTGACACTGGAAACACACCCCCCTTCGTGTGAGGCACAGAAAAGACAGTGGTCTGCAGACCAGGACGGGACACGCTCCAGGAGCCAAATGGACTGGTGGCCTTCTTTCCTGGTCTCCCCCAGAATGGGAAAGGTCACTTTCTGGGTTTTGCTTGTTTTTCCTTTTCAGCGGGTGGTGTCAGGGCCTCAATGAGCAGTGCTTGGAGACTATTCTTGACTCTGTGCTGGGGTGGAGACGGGGAAGGGGATTCACACTCATTAGTGCTGGGGTGACCATGCAGTGCCAGCAGTCAAGCCAGCACCACTGCATCCCAGGAAAGCACCTCTAAACCCTGTGCTGTCGCTGGCTGCCTCTGTTGCCGACATCTGGTGGATGAGACTTTTGTCTCAGTCTGAAGTGACTGCGACACCACTGTCCCACTGGGAATCATCTTAGGGGCTCCATGAGGCTCACAGAACTGAATGCTCATGGATGCTGAGGGCAGAGTGCCCCCAGATCCTCAGCGCCCACTGCTGCCAGGTCCCTCTGGGACAGGCCAGAGCATCATTTCATAAAGCCCTGTGAAGAGTGGACACGCCGCGTCCCCGGGTTGAGCGTGTATCCTTGGGCGTGGACAAAGCTCGAGTCCAGCTGGCTTGTGCAGGGTCTGGAGCGATAGTACAGCAGGAGAGCACTTGCCTTATAAGCGGCCAACCCCGGTTCCATCCCCAGATCCCATATGGTCCCCAGAGCACTGCCAAGAGTGATTCCTGAATGCAGAGCCAGGAGTAATCCCTGAGTATCACTGGGTGTGGCCCAAAGGACAAAACAAACAGAAAACAAAACCGAACACCAATAAAACAAAGAAACAGGCCTTTGCAAGCACAGCCTGGGAAAATCACGTACCTCACCTCAAATTTCATCCACCACTGCCTCTGGTTTATAGCAGAACCCTCACTAAAAAGCCCTTTTGCCTGCCTGTGGGTCCAGAGGAATAGAAAACACATGAGGCCTAAACCCCGTCACCCCTGTGATGAGACACCCCCCAACACGACATTCACAGACCCGACTCAGCCAGTCCACAGCCAACTGTGACCCTGTTAGCAGCTGTGACCCTGGAGTGGGGTCTGCCAGCCGGTCAAGGCCAAGGCTTTAGTCCTCTGTCCTGTCCCCTCCACACCAGGAAAGGGCTGGCCTTGAACCGCAAGGCCGTGAACCACATAGCAGGGCAGCCTCACACCCCCATATAAGAGGATTAAGGTCCCTTAACCCCAATATCAGGTTGTCCGTGGGTCTACAAAGACTTACTGGGACATTCACTAGATTCTGAGAGTGCGTGGGGTGCCCGGGAAGTTCAAGGCGACTGTGAGAGTCAAGAGAAGGCCTCACCCAGCTGAAGGGGGCAGCTATGGAGAGTGCCCTCCTCCTGGACCCGAGAGAAGGATGGTCCCTCCTCCCGCAGCTGCCCTTCCCAGCGCGGGCACCTCTGCACTTCATTCGTGTGTCGGTTTCTAAATGAGGCATGACGCTGAGCAGGAAAGCCACGGATTCCTATCTCCATGAATTTTAATAGAATAATCACTGGCAATTTCTTGGCATGCGAGAACGACGCCGCAAATGGTAGGAACGGGAACATTCGTTGGTGGGAGGGCGGGCTGTGTGCCAGGGAGACCACCTGCCAGGGCACAGCTCGCTGCGGGTTCCTTCCGGCCCCCAGGGAAAGCTGAGTTTTGGGCAGGAAGAGGCCCTGAGCACTGGGGCCACGCCCTGGCCTTGTGTCCATCTCAGCTGTATCCATCCCTCCGTGGGCTGCAGAGGTGGTGCCTGCTCTGAGCGCCCAGCCTGCCCGGTCCCTTCAGATGCTCCCCGTCAGCCCTTCTGGGGGTGGGATGGTTTTCCAGAAAGAGGAGTGAGTGTGTCTGGGCTTGGATGACCCCCCTGCCCTTTCCCTTGCTGACTAGCCTTCCGCATGACCCCCCCTTTTTTTTTGCTTTTTGGGTACACAGACTTGGGTCCCCCACAAGCGGCGCCGTGGAGTGGATCTTCAGGAGGGCTGGAGCAATAGCACAGCGGTAAGGCATTTGCTTTGCGCGAAGCTGGCCTGGCCGAGCCGAGTTTGATTCCTCTGCCCTTCTCAGAGAGCCCGGCAAGCTACTGAGAGTATCTCGCCTGCACGGCAAAGCCTAGCAAGCTCCCCGTAATGTATTCGATATGCCAAACACAATAACAACAAGTTTCACAATGGAGACGTTACTGGGCCCTCTCCAGCAAATCAATGAACAACAGGAGGACAGTGCTAACAGCGCTAACAGTGCTTTTCGGGTCACACCTGGCAATGCAAAGGGGTTACTCCTGGCTCTGTGCTCAGAAATTACTCCTGGCGGTGCTCAGGAGACCATATGGGATGCTGGGATTCGAACCAGGGGTGGTCGCATGCAAGGCAAACGCCCTATTCTCTGTACTATGGCTCCAGCCCCTGCATGACCCTTTAATGATCTTCTGCTCCCCTGATGTTCAAGGTTCCCTATCCGGGGCCACAGGAAAGCCCGTGGGGTCCCTTCTGCCTCCTGAGGGGCGCAATGATGGCTATTTCTGTGGGTGGTTCTCAGCCTGAGTCTTCCTGGTCACTGTGCCTGCATGCTTTTGGGCCCCGCCCAGGGCATCCTTAGTGGAGGAAGGGGCAATGTCACAGTGGGGGACCCTAATCCTCTTATACGGGGCTGTGAGGCTGCCCTGTCTTGCAGTTCAAGACCTTGTGGTTCATGACCAGCCTTTTCCTGGTGTGGAGGGGACAGAACAGAAGACTAAAGCCTTGGCCGTGGCTGGCTGGCAGGGTCCCAGCCGCTAACCACAGCTCCTCATGTGTGGGAGGCAATAGCTCTTCTTCCTTCTTTCCTTCCTCCTCCCATTCCTGCCTGCCCGGCACTCAGGGCTGCACGGGGCAGCCCGGGGGAGGGATCCTGGGGAACAGGTCCTCAGGCTCCCCCCCCACCCTGTGGGCATCCCCAGATCATGGCCTGGATCCTTCCTCATCCATCACTTCATTGCCCCCCCCACCCCCGATTGCTGGCACAGTGCAACGGGATGACTTCACGGCAAGAAGTGGGAATGTCTGAACTACAACAAAAATGTCAGACCTGGGTGAGAGATATTACAGAGGTTCAAGGACTTATCCTGCATGCGGCCAGCCCTGGTTTGGTCCCTGGCACCATCTACAGTCCCCTGGGCAGGGCCAGGAGTGATCCTTGAGCACAGAACTAGGAGCAAGCCCTGAGCATTGCCGGGTGTGGCTCCCCAAACCAAAACAACAACAAAAAGCAAAAAAGGCAAATCAGCCCTTCATACCCAAGCAGACCCAAAACACCCTCAACAGTAGCCGTCTGGGCTGACTGACATTGGGGCATGATGTGCTTCTCCCCAGGGGCCCCAGTGCTCTTTCACAGAGTGGGGGGATGAGCTGGGCCCCCTCCCGCTGGGCAGCAGTCCCCATGGTTGCCTGGTCAAGCCCACAGGGCCATTGGGGACCCACTGGGCGCCTAAGGGAAGAGAGCATAGAGGACCCCTCACCCAGGAGCCCTGACGGCAACTCTATCCCTACCCGAGCAATGGAGGTTTGGCACCCGGCAAACACAGTTAAGCGGGTTTTTTGGTTTGTTTAATTGGTTTTTTTGTTTGTTTGTTTGTTTTTAGTGTTTGGGCCACACCCAGTGATGCTTAGCGGTTACTCCTGGCTCTGCACTCAGGAATCACTCCTGGCGATGCTCAGGGACCATATGGTATACCGGGCATCAAACCCTGACTGGATAGGGCGGGGGAAGGGCCCTCCCCGCTTCAGCCCTGGTTTGTCATTTGTGCATGAGGCTAAGGCAGGAATGAGTCGGCGTAGCTCTGGATGACACTCAGATGGAGGCTGAGGGGCAGGATGTAAAATAGGTGGGGGCTGGAGCCACAGGACAGTGGGGAGGGCACTCACCTTGCATGCAGCTGACTCAGGTTTGATCCCTGGCACCCCATAAGGTTCCTGAGTTTGCCAGGAGTAATTCCTGAGCACAGAGCCAGGAGTAACCCCTGAGCACTACCAAGTATGGGGGGAAAAAAGTGAAACAGGTTTTAGGAGTCCCCTCACTTGTCTGCTTTCTTCAGGTTCAGGGGAGAATAAACTCCCCAACAATAAGCCCTGGCAGCAACCACTGTTTGCCCAGTCCAGCCCACCTGAGAGCCTGGTCTGTGATGGGCCTGCACAGAGCCCCCAGCAACTGTAAGGGCAGAGAGAGGCAGCCTGCAGTCCACACCAGAGCTGGAGATCTCTCCCTTGAAAGCCCACCAGCACACCCTCTCGAGGGACAGACCCCCTCCTGTGGCCCGTCCACCCTGGGCTCTGGCCGGTGAGGGTGGTCTCCTGTGGAGCGACCCTAATTCCCCGCGGGTCTGTCAAGGCCATGCAGGGGCAAGTCTCACCCACTCCCGGCTAATGACCCGGGCAGGCGGTGATCATTAGGCCCCACCGATGCGGCTTGCACATAAGGAAGCCGTTACCCTAACAAGACTGAATGTAAAAATAGCCATCCACATAGTTTCCTGGTTACCGCACTCATCCAGGGAGCTCGGCTTTCCCTCGTCCCCTGCCACGCCAGGGATGCTGCGTGTATACTTAGCCTGGGAGGGGCCGTGCCCGTGACCCTGCAGCCGCCCGGCTCTCAGAGGTGGGGAGGGACACCCAGCTGCAGTCCAGCGGGGAACAAAGAGGGCAACCTGGGGGTGGAGGCGGAGGTGGTGCACATACCACAAAGAGGTCTGCCTTGTGCCGAGCCCTGGGGTTACCCCTGGGAGGAAGGCACTGAGGCACCGTGAGGCCAGACCAGACCTCTGGACCAGCTCAGGTCACACCCAGGAGGCGCCTTCCCTCCCTGGGGGCAAGCTGCTCCAGAGATGGGCCTGGGGCAGGAATCAAAGATCTCCTACAGGTGGGAACTTTGATCTCGTCAGAAAACCAAAAGCATCCCACTGCCCTGCTAAGGATGTAGAAGCTGACCCAAAAAGGACTTGGCCTATGGTCCACAGGTGTTTCTCATTCACTCATGCATTCACACACTCATTCATTCACACTCTTTCGCTTATTCATTCATTCATTCATTCATTCCCAGTCATTCACTCGTTCATTCATTCAATTTATTCACTCATTCATTCATTCACTTACTCATTCATGCAATCACTCAGTCCTTTAGAGACCCCACTGAGCACATGCAGGCCCACAGACAGGTGAGAGCCAGGGACAGGCATGGAAAAATAGCACAGGGTGCAAGTTTCAGGGGGCTTCTGAGTATTTCTCGATTTCTGGTTCCTGAACTCTGTTACAGTCCCTGGGACACCAGGATGCCACAGAGAGGTGACACGTGTGGGCGTGGCTGCTCACCACACTGCCAGGCCCTTAGCCAGATGGCTCTGGATGGCTTCCCTGGCTCCCAGCACCTCCCATGAGGCTTGGCCTGGAACCAAGGGCTTGTCCTGGCCCTTGGCTCTCAGCCTCCCAGCTTGGCGCCTTTTTGTCGTGGCGTCTGCAACACTCACAGCCCTAGTGTTGGCCAAGCATGGCAGCGCTGGCCACTTTCCTAGTGCACTGGACAGCCCGGCCCTGGGAGGAATGAGACACTCCAAGAATTCCCAGATGAGGTCTCCGTGTCGGGATGGGTCTATCTGACTTCTGAGTGGGCAGGGGTTCCGTGACCGTTGCCCCGTGAGGACGCCCTTCCTGGGGACACTCACCTGTGCAAAAATGCTCGTCAGGCCCGCCAAGGGGTCCAGAGCGGCCCTCAAAGGCACCGCTCCTCTGTGGCCGGGGGCCAGGCTCCTGGTCAGTCTGCGACCTGTAGGGGAGAGAAGGCCTGGTCATTCATGGCAGCGGTCAGGCTGCCCTCGAGTCTTCAAGCCTGGCCTCCCTCTGCTGTGCCCTTCAGGCCGAGTGGACTTGGCACAGCGAGGGGCTAGGAGGACAGCCCTTGAGGTGCCAATCTCCCTTTTGTGTTTCTTTAAAATAAGGACCAGCATCTCCCTAACCCCCTCCACGCTCTCCTCCCCTCCCTCTCCCCCCCTTTCCCTCTCAAACTAGTAACCTAGTTTGATGTCAACATCCATGAATTTATTTTTATTTCATCAATTTAATCTTCTCATATCACACACAGGTGGTCTCGTGCAGTACCTGTTTTTCTCCTTCTGACTTTCTTTGCTCCCAATAGGCCCTTTGAGTTCCTTCCACTTTGCTGCCAAAGGTAATATATTTCATCTCTTTTTCTGAGGGGCTCTGCACGTACTGCCGTATAAGTACCGTGCACTAATCGATCGCGCCACTGGGGCTGGTCTGGAGTGATAGCACAGCGGTAGGGCGTTTGCCTTGCGCAGTCAGCCCGGCCGAGCCGGGTTCGATTCCTCCGCCCCTCTCAGAGAGCCTGGCAAGCTACAGAGAGTATTCAATATGCCAAACACAGTAACAAGAAATCTCACAATGGAGACATTACTGGGCCCGCTTGAGCAAATCGATGAACAACAGGAGGACAGTGTTTGTTTTGTTTGTTTCTGGGGGCGCTATGTTAGGTCACATTCAGGGGTGCTCAGGAGCTATTCCTGGTTCTGTGCTCAGGAGTGACTATTGGCAGTGCCCTTCTATAACAACGCCGGGGCTCAACCCAGGATTGACTTCCTACAAAGGCAAGGCCTGACTCCCTGTACTGTCTCTCCAATATTCCATCTTTCTCTCTCTCTCTCTCTCTTTTTTTTTTTTACAGCTTAATAGTATTCCATTGTCTATGGCTCGACCAGGCAGTGAGCACTGTGTCCATTTCCATCTCTGAGCTGCTGTTGTAAATGCTGCAGCAGCATTTGATGCCTGAGGCATTTTCTCAGGCACACAGGGAGGTGAGGGGGGAGGCAGCTCCCCAGTAAATCCAGGCCGCAGGTCCTTTGTCCTGCACAGGCCATGCCATAGGCACACGCGAGGAAAACTCCAGCCCTGGCTGAGTCACCAGATCCACAGCCAGGCTTGGGGGCGGGAGGCATGTGGCCTCCTGGCGCTCACAGTCCAGGGGGCCCTGCAGCCTCCTGGGACTCACGGCTTGGGCGGTGGGGGGGGGGGGGGGCACATGGCCTCCTGGGATTCACGTTCAAGGGGCCACACAGCCTCCTGGAGCTCACAGTCCAGGCAGCCAGCAGCTAGGAGAGCAGGAGGGGCACCTCTGGGTCAGAGCAACTCCCAGAGGGAACATATCCAGGCCAGGCCACTTGTGGTGGCAGGAAGGAAGGGTGAGGCCACTGGGCAGCAGCTCCCAAGTGCACACAGACCTCAAGCGCAACCCAAGCTTACAATCCTCGCAGGAACAAAGGCTATGGGAGCCTTTATTACAGGCAATTACCCGGGGCCCTCCGAGAGGCCCGCCCACCACCCGCCACTGTCTCCAGCTAAATGGGCGCTTTGGCAACTTGGCAGGGGGAGGGGAGGATATAGGGGGGTATGGGGGGGGCTGGGCCAGTGGACCTGTGAATCTCCAGTCTCCTGATCTCTCTCTCTCTCTCTCTCTCTCTCTCTCTCTCTCTCTCTCTCTCTCCAGTTTTCATATTTTCAACCATGCAGACGGGCCCGGGACTGGCTCCCTCTGAACACGCCTCCTTTCCTCTCTTGCTTCATCAGGGGTTAGCAGGTGACCCCAATACCTGGCTAGCCTGACAGGTCAGGGCTGGGGGCTCTTGTTGCCCAGCTCCTCCTCTGAGGCAGTGCTGAACTATGCCCGCAGACCCTGAGCTGGGTGTAGGGGATAAGGTGGGTGGGGAAGCCTCCGAAGAGGGCAGGTGACCTCGTCCTGCCCAGGGCCTGGCATGTGGGTGGTGGTGTCAAGCAGGGCATGAGGGGACACAGATAAAGTGGGGTTGTATGGCTTTTTGTTTCTTAGAAAAATTAGTCTAGAGGTGGGGTTTTGTTTGTTTGTTTTGGAGCCACACCCAGTGGTGCTTAGGACTTACTCCTGGCTCTGAGCCCAGGGATCACTCCTGGATGGCTCAAGGGACCCTACGGGGTACCAGGGATCGAGTCTGGCTTGACCATGTACAAGGCAAGAGCCTTCCCCGCTATACCATCGCTTGGACCCTGAGCTGCTTTTAAAGGGTGCAACACGCCAAGAAGGTACCAGGGCTGATGCCAGGAGGGGGAACGACATTGGGTCGGGCTGTTTCCTGGAATGAGCCCTGGCATAAGCCAGGGGCTGGTATCAGAAACAGAACCGAGGCTACTGGGCATGCCCTGTGCAGCCTCTCTCTACAATGCCAGGGCAAACAGGCATGCCCTGGCTCGGGGGGGCCAGGCACTCGAACCCCACAAATACCGAGGAAGGCGGCCTTCACCTCTCAGGGCTAGCCCTGTTGTTCACTTCCCCCTGCCCAAGACAACACAGCTCCGTCCAGAGGGCAGAGACCCCAGAGCAAGTGGAATGCCAGCCCGCCCACCCCACGCAACCCTGGGGGACACAAGAGCACTCAGGGGTTGGGGAGGCATGTCCAGAGGAGCAGATGAAGGACACCCCAATGCTGGGCGGCGGGGAGAGCATCTAAAGAAGAGGACCTGGAGGGCAGAATGTGGGACAGAGCCACCATGGTAGGGACCCACCAGCCCATGAAGACAGATGCCAGTGGTGGACAGGCAGGACCTGGGTGGCGACAGCTCCGCTCTTGCCCTCAGCTCAAGCTTCTCACAGAAAGCCCAGGTGCCAGGGTGGCGGCACTGATTTCCAGGAAAACCGGAGGGCTGGGGCTTCTGGGGAGCAGATGGCACTTGCTGACGGCTGCTCGGGAGAGGGTGGTGCAGCCCCGCCCTTGGCAGAGTGGCCCGAGGCAGCAGTGCCAGCCTCGCAGGTATGCTGTTATAGCACCCGCCTGCCTGCAGCACCGAGGGTGTCCTTGCCCAAACTGTCACCCCACCTGTACCCCATACCCAGGGCTTGAGAGGAGCTGGGCCTCACACTTCTGTTTGTGTCTAAAAGACAAATCCACAAGCCTGTGGGCTGAGGAAAGGGAACTTGGTCTTGCTTAAGTTGCATCAAAACATTCCAAAGAAGTTCTGACTTACCTGGAAAATGTCAGGTTCCAAATCTGCCAGGGCTGACAGAGCCCAGGGGTTAAGTCCCTTGCCTTGCACAGGGCTGCCCTTGGTCGGGTCCCCAGCACCACACAGGGTTCCCTGAGCACTGCCAGGAGTGACCCTGAGCACAGAGCCAGGAGAAAGCCCTGACCACCACCAGATGTGGCCTAAAAATACTCCCCACCTCCTCCCCCACCACAACCAAAACCTGCCAGGGAGCTTTTAAGTGGGTTATCAAATTGTTCACGACTTGATGCATGCACACAGCCCTTAGAATGATGGGAATCAGGTGGGAAAGGTTCTGGTTCCTGGAGATCGTGTTACTCCCTGAGATCCTTCTAAGCAGGGGACCTGGCACTTCTGGGTGACATGTCAGCCTGAGAAAGAGAGGAGATGGACCCCAGGGAGAGAAGGAAGATGCCCTTGGAGAAGGGGATGTGCCTCTGGACAGGGCAGAGACTTGGAGGCACCTTCTTGCGAGGGCAATTGGCTGGTTTTCCTGCCTGGTGTGCCACCCTACCCCCACCCCGCCTGAGTGGAGCTGTCCCCCTGCCGGGAGTTCTCCTGAGCCCATCCTCTGTCCCAAAGTCTTCCCACGGCTTTATACCATGTCATGTAAATCTCATTCATGCCACGGGGCCACCCTGTCCGCTCAGGCAGGCTCCGGACTCACTTACTCAGAGTCTCCTTTCCCGCAGCAAATGGCTTCGGCTCCTTCATTCTTTTTTTTCTTTTCTTTTCTTTTTGGGCCACACCCAGCCATGCTCAGGGGTTAGTCCTGGCTCATGCACTCAGGAATTACTCCTGGCGGTTGTTGGGGGACCCTATGGGATGCCGGGGATTGAACCCGGATCGGCCACATGCAAGGCAAATGCCCTACTCACGGTGCTATCGCTCCAGCCCCGAAGCCCCTTCATTCTTAGAATCCCAACTAATCTGTCTTTCTCTGAATGTTTCATCCACCAATGTCCTTTTGAAGACGGGAAGGGTCAGCCCACAAAGCAGGACTTGCCAGTATCCAGGGCTCTACTACCATGGCAGGCAGACTCCCAAAAGCTCCTTCCCCCCCCCACCCCTCCCCAGATGCCCTGACGCCTCAGAGGCCCCCAGAGTCCAGGGATTAATCGATACACAAGCTTTTCTACACTCCCAAACTAATTGAGAGCTTCTCCTCGCCTTAGCAGAGTCAAAAGGGTGCCAGGAAATAAGGTTGGTGGGGAATCCAGGGGGCATTCAATACGCCCTGGAGCATTTCTAAATCACCTACTACGTTCTTGATGTTTTAGGGACTTTTATTTTCGGGGGAGGGGGAGAGTTTTGTTCTTTCCTTTTAAAAACTTTTTGTTTTGTGGTGGGGGGTGGGAGGCCACACTGGGTGATGCTCAGGGCTAACTCCTGGCTCTGCACTCAGGAATTTCTCCTCATGGTGCTTGGGGACCTTACGGGGTGCAGGGCCTTACTGGGCCAAATTTGGCTGTGCTGGGGCATCTATCCTGACTGTACTCTGGGGACTATATGGTGCTGGTTCAAACTTGGGCTCCTACATGCAAAGCCTAGGCTCCAACCTGCTGAGTTACCTCTCTAGCCTGAAACAGAGGTTGGGGGGGGGGGTACATCTGTGGTGGGGCCCCTGTGTTGGGATCCAGTCCCCTCTTCATGTTCCCAGTTCTGTTTCGGCACTGGGAACCCCCAGCTCTGTAGGGCTCGAGCCCCATCAAGGCAAGAACCCCACCCTCTAACTCTTGCTCCAGCCCCCAGCCCCTGACTTTTATTTTTGGTGTGAGACATACCCGGCTCTACTGAGGGCTTACTCTTAGCTCTGAACTCAGGACTCATTCCTGACAGTGCACAGGGGAGCACAGGGGGTGCAGGGGCAAACTCAGGTTGACCAGATTCAAGGTAAGTGCCCAACCTGCTGTACTATTTCTCAGGCCCCCTTCCCCCAAACTTCTAGATTCTGGGGTCCTTCCCCAGTCTCCCAGCCTTAAGCCATCTCTCTCTTCCTTGGTCCCTAGGTCCCAGCTCATGGTTCCCGCCCCCAGTCTCCCCTCCAGCCTGCCCCCAGCTCACCTGTACTGGAAGGGGGCCACGGTGGCTGTGACAGGTTGACTCTGTGGATGGGCAGAGAAGAAGCTGATGGCCCCAGGAGTGGGAGAAGGGCGCTTGCTCTGCCCTGGGCTGCAGATCAGGGAGGAGGTCCCTGAGGCTGCCCCGTCATCAGGTTCCAAAGCCCTGGGAAGCCCAGAGCTCCTGGGGATCCCATCTCTTTCCTCTCTCCCTGCGCAGCTCAGAGGCTTGCGACCTTCAGGAGTGGCTGCCACGTGATCTTCTCCCCGGAGCCACGTCCGGGATGGACTCCTGCCCCGGGTCTGGCGTGTGGGTAGCCCGTCCTGGGCCACCTTCTTCTTCCCCTGGATGCCCTGGGTGTCCCCGACTCTTCTGGACCCGGCCCGGCTGGAGAGGGTGGCTTTGGGGGCTGTTCTGGGGCTGCTCCATGGGGACCCGGAGAGGCTGTCACCAGTGTCGCCCGCGGACGGCTTGGGGGAGCCTCTTCCCCAGGAGGCCTTAGGAGAGGAGCTTCTGGAAGGCCCCGCGGGCTTGCCCAGCCTGGGGGAGGCCGCGCGCTGGGGGCTCAGGGCCAGGCCAGCCTGGCGTGGCCGCAGCTGTGGGGAGGTGCCCGGGGTGGGGATCCTGGTCTGGGAAGTGGCCCGAGGCACAGGGATGGAAGAAGCGTAGTGGGGGCGGCTGGCGGGGTTCACACTGGCCATCCCGGTGCTGGTCAGCCCGGCCGGTGGCGGGCTCTACTGTCCTGCGGAAAGAGGAGAGAGAAGCTATGAGGTGCTGTCCTTCCAGTCCTGCATGCGCGTGCTGGGGAGGACACCCCAGGACTCCTGTGCTCCCCCCAGCCTGCTGCCCTGAAATGCTGCCTGAGTCTCACAGGCGGCACGTCCAAGAGAAAGGCTCTGAGAATCGGAATGTGCAGCACAAATGGGACCTTTGGGCTTCCCTTCACTCCATTCCTGTCCCTGAATGGGTACAGACTCCACTCACAGCCTTCCCTCTCGGAGCTCCTGGCACCCTGCTTCTAGAATGTTCTAGCCGTTGGTACACCAGCTCCCCTGGGCTCTTTCTTTGCACTTACCCTTTACTTTCTCCCTAACGTGGCACCCACCAGTCCCCAGGATACCACCCAGCAGAGTATAATCATGCAGGTCCCGCTGGAGCCGATGGTGGGGCCGCAGGTGACCAACCCTTCCACAGCCCAAGCTCATAACCCGCCCCAGGCTCCTGCCTTGTGTCATTCACTACCCTCCTCATTCATGCCATCATTCCTGGTCATTCCCTGCTACCCTGAGCCCCTCATCACTACACAGTTTTCTTTTTTTTTTCTTTTTGGGTCACACCTGGTGATGCACAGGGGTTACTCCTGGCTCTGCACCCAGGAATTACTCCTGACAGTGTTCAGGGGACCATATGGGATGCTGGGAATCGAACCCAGGTCAGCCACGTGCAAGGCAAATGCCCTACCCGTTGTGCTACTGTCCAGCCCCCCTGCAGTCTTCATTTTTAGTCCATACCCTGCCCACCTTCTGGACTCAGACAACTTCCTGGTTAGACCAGGGCACATCTCTGTGCCCCACTCGACCCCCCAGCAGTCACCCTTCCTCTTCCACACCCCATCTATCCACTACCTTAGCTATTAATTACTCCTGCTCCAGCATCTTCATCCTCCCCTTCTCACCATGTTAATTAGTAAATTAATGGATCTATTAATCACTTTCATTTCAAAAGGATTTTGAAGCCATTTACAAAGACACAAGCAATCCATTCAAGATAGGTTAGTGTTAGTGTGTAGAAAATGAAAGCATAAAAGAATTTGCAAAACACTGTCTCCATAATTCTCTTGTCAGAAAGACCTTTCTAAACCTCAAAGGCAGAATCAGATAGTACAGTGGGTAGGCCTTGCACATGACTAACCCAGGTTCAATCCCCGGCACCACATATGATCCTCTGAGCACCATCAAGAGTGATCCCTGAGCACAGTGCAAGGGGTAAGTCCTGAGTACTGCTAGGTGCTGCCTGAACATCCATCCGCCCCCACCAAAAAGAATATCACAGTTAATTTATACATGGCAACCACCTTTGCCAATTTCAAAAGGTTTAATGGTCAGAGAGATAGTACAATGGATTAAGGTTCTTGCATTGAGAGCAGCAATACAGGTTCAATCTCTGGCATCACATATAGTTCCCAGATCCCCTACAGAAGTGATCTCTGAGCACAGAGCACAGTCGGGTGTGACTCAAAACCCCCTAAATAAGGGCAGAATCACATAGGAAAACACTGCTAGCTTAGGGAAGCAAAGTCTCTGAACCAAAAAGCTCTTTCAAAAGGTCTTCAAGTCATCAACAAACTACACAAATACAAAATGTATTAGAGGGGCTGGAGAGATAGCACAGCGGGTAGGGCATTTGTCTTGCATGCGGCCGACCAGGGTTCGATTCCCAGCATCCCATATGGTCCCCTGAGCACCGCCAGGAGTAACTCCTGAGTGCAGAGCCAGGAGTAACTCCTGTGCATCACCAGGTGTGACCCAAAAAGCAAAAAGAAATGTATTAGAGATAAGACGGCAACACATTTCTGCATTGGGCACTCTGCCAGGCCAGGGATGCAGAGCAAATGCTTCCCCAGCACCCAAGAAGGACCAGGATCAGAACAAGAAACAGACAAAATCACAAATGCAACTGGGCAAAACAAAACAGAGGCCAAAGGCTCCATTCCAATGCAGCAAGGCGAACTAAGCGAGATCGTTCAATGCTGTCAAATGTACTCGTGGAGAAGAATCACACTGCAGAACACACTTGCAAGCTGGCCCTCACTGCTGTGGGCCCAAACTAGACAGGCTTCCCCAGGAACATGGCTGCAGGGAAGTGTCGAGCCCCAGGAGCAAAGAAAACATTCAAGAGGACTCTTGAGGGCTAAGGGAGACCTGGGTGAAGCCGGAGGCTGAGACATGCCAGGAGCCAGCAAAGGCCTGTCCCCTCAACACGGCTGTCCGCCAGGGGCCCTGTGACCTTTCACTCTGTGGACAAAGCTGTCCATGGCAGTGCAAAATTGGTAATGACTACTGCCGGCCTCTCCCTGACCCTGCACTTGGGTCCAGTTACAAGAAGTCAATACAGACCCAGGGGCTATGATGGATTTCTACACGGGTAGCACGTGAGCATCAGGGGCAGCTGACAGGAGTCATTCCACAAGGCAGGGAAATGCTCTGACCCTCTCCTCATTTGTCTTGTAATGACTTGATCCCATTAGTGGATGAACGAAAGTCCTTTCCCTCCCCTTCCTGGGGGAGAGGAGGGCAAAGCTATCCGGCGCCCCCCCCTCCACACACACACTCAGAGTGGTCACAAAACTCCGGATCGTGTCCCAGGCCATCAAAACGCCTGCATCCTCCCCATCCCTCGAGCTGCCCTTCCAGGCTGCATTCCTCTGTCCCCCATAGGCTCCAAGGTTGTCGAAACAACAGGGAGAATCGGGGAGAACTGCTTCGCCTCCCCATACCTGCTCACAGGGAGACTCTAGAAGCAGAAGTCAGAGTCGCCATGAAGGGCCATAGAGACCAGAAGAGAAAACCATGCTTCAGCCTGGTCTCCAGCTCTGGAATTAGAATTCTTCCCACAGCACGGGACAGTGGGTTTACTTTGCCCTCATCCTGTCCAGCAAGGGGCCACAAGGGAGCTGCGACACGGCTGAGCAGGACGAGAGGCATGCGGGAAGCCTTCTCGGGAGTTCCTATGCGTCTGAGCTGTGAGACTCCAGGTCCCAGCTGGGCTGGGCCCCGACTTGCTGAGCTGAACCAGGGCAAAGGGGCTAACACAGCAGCCTGAGAGGTCATGGCTCCTCGCACCCTGAATTCAATCCCCTGCACAAGCAGAAACGCCCCCAGTGGCTCCCTCAGCCCCTGGCCCCACCAGACCTTAACATGGGAACAAAGTTATTTCAGCACCCTGGACCAGCCCCTCCGAGCATCTTGGCTTGACCTGCCTGTATCCTGGAAGCCCCTGACCCCGTTCCCTTATCACCTGGGGATGCCCCTCCAGCTCACCAACTCACCTACATCCTCCTCAACGCACCCCGTGCACCCCTGGCGCTCTGAGGACCAGCCGAGACAGCCAAGTCTGGGCAGCAGCTCTGCCCCGAGATGATGGAGCAGATGCACCAGCAGCTTTCACTCATCATCACTTTTTTAAAAGCTAGATGGGAAGAGGCTTTAGAAACATCTCCCCGAGGCAGGTCACGCCCCACCTCCAACCCCCCAGCGGGCGGCCCTGCCCTGCTCTCCCCTGCCTCAGGGTGGGAATGGCAGGCTCGGAATGGAGTATCCCTGCTCCTGGTAGGAGTCCAACAGCCTTTGGGGTGGTGGGGGACAGTTCCCCGAAGAGCGAAGGGGCTCCGCCCAAGGAAGTTTCTTAGTTTGCCTTTAGAGAACAGGTCCCCAGGAATCCACATTAGGGAAGGGTGTTCCAGGGGAAACCTGGCTTGTCCCATGACCCCAGGCAGGGCTACAGGCGCTACTGGGGGTTCCCTGCTGGGCAGGGGCACTTCCTATGGGTCTGAGACCCTCCTGGTCTACTCCCACCACTCAGCCACTCCAGTCAGCACCGGGCCTCAGAGACTGGGGTGAGGGATAGACCCAATGTGCAGGGAAGGAACTTGACAGGCACAAGGAGAAAACTGGCCGGGAACCCTCTGGAGGGGTTCCCCCCATTCCCTTCCCTTTTCCCCCCAATATGGCTCAATACAGCAGCTTTGCCTTTGGGCATTGCTGAGGCATTACCCATGTGACATGGCAGGCCACATGGATGGGTCGGGGCTAGATTCAGCCTGGTCAGAGGTCTAAGATACAGGAGGTGCCCTTGGTGAGGTGGGGGCTGGGGAGAAAGACTGGGAAACCAGAAGATGGCGTGGGGAGAGAAAACAGGCTCTTGGGGCTGGGCTTTGAGCTAGGACTCAGGACAATGGTGCCTCCGAGTTTAATGGGGAGGTATGTGCCCAGATGGCCCCTCACAGAGCCCACAGAGGAGCCCATGGACCGTGGCACCCAAACCCACACTTCACGAACCAAGGGATTTGAGAAATCCTGAGTCTCCTCCACCTGGCCGCCTTGCTCGCCGCTGCCCAGTCCTACAAGGCTGAGGAGTGTCTGGTCTTCTGAAGGTCACAGGAAGTGCCCCCCCATGTGTTCTGGGGCAGACAGGAGTGCCCCAGAGAAGCAGGACAATCTATCACTCAGACAGGCTCTGGCTGTGTCAAAGAGCTCAGCTCTCCACACTCACCCTTTGCAACTGGGGAGTCTCAAGAGCAGAGGCTGGAGGTGGGGCTGGGGACCCATTTCTTTCTGTTATGTAAGTGCATGTGCATGCGTGTATACATGCACATACCCATTGGCAGATCCTGCCAGATTCCCTACTCTTTACTGAGCAATCTTTGCCTTCCTCCTTTCGGTTCATTGCCCCACCCCCATCCTCTCAGCGAGGCTCAGGGGTTATTCCTGGCTTTGCACTCCTGACAGTGCTGGGGGGATCTTATGAGATGCCGGGGACTGAACCCAGGTCAGTCGAGTGCAAGGCAAGTGCCCTACCTACTGTACTATCTCTCCAGCCCCCTTGGTTCATCCTTTAAAAAAAATAACTTTTTTTAATCTGGGGTGGCTGCACTGGCTGCGTTCAGCAGAACTTATTGCTCATCCTGTGCTCAAGGAAAACTCCTGGCAATGCTTGGGGGACTGTATGCAGTGTCAGGAACCA